CTCTTTTAGTTTCTTTAAAGAAATTATGCAGAATTGGTTTTATTTCTTTGTTAAATGCTTAGTAGAGTTGACCAGTAAGACCATATAGATCTGAAAATTCCTTTTTTGGAAGTTTTTTTCAACTATGAACTCAATTTCTCTAATAGTTATAACACTATTCAGGTTATCTCTTTCAGTTTAGGTGAATTTTTATAGTGGTTTTCAAAATTTCACAAAATTTGTGACTTTGTGTCCACAGAATTATTTGTGGTATTTTCTTATTATTATTTTAATGGCTGCCAAGTTTAGTAATAACCTTTATTTCATTCCTGATATTGGTAATTTATGTCTTCTCTTTTTTATGCTTTGTCAGTGTTGCTAGATTTTGTCAATTTCATTGATCTTTCCAAAGAACTATTTTTCCCCATCGATTGTCCCTATTGGCTTTGTGTTTTCATATCTTTATTATTTCTTTTCTCCTAGTTGCTTTGCTCTTTTTATTTCTTTTTAATTTTTATTTTTTTACTTCTTAAGATAGAAATTTAAATTATTGATTTAAGACTTTTTATTTTTGAATATAAGCATTTAAGATTATGAATTTCTATCTAAGCATTGATTCAGCCACATCACATAATTTTTTTATTTTCATTTTATTTTAATTCAAGGTATTTTCTAATTTCTACTAAGACTTCCTACTTGACCTATGGATTACTTATAAGTGTTTAAAGATTTTCTTGGTATTTTAAAAATTGATTTCTAGTTTACTTTTTTAAAGGTGAGATAACCTACTTTTATAATTTTAATTGTTTCACATGTTCAAAAGCTTTTTCCTCCTAGGATATGATCTACCTTGGTGAATATTCCAAGTGCACTCAAGAAAAATCTAATATTGTCAGTAGAGTATTCTAAAAATGTCAATTATATTCCATTGCCTAATGGTGATGTTTAGAGTAGTTCTAAACTTTCACAGTTATCTAAGCATTCTTGGTTGTTCAGAAAAGCCCAACCTATTTCTTTGAAGCTTAAAAAATAGTGAGAAATGAAAAAGAGCCAATAGATTCACAAAAATTGTGGTGTATTATAAATGTCTATATGTAAATAGTTAATGCTTTAAACAAATACACACACATAATCATTATATTTATCATCTCCTTTGAAGATACCTTGACAATTTTAAATCTGAAGATTTTCATGACTGTAAAAACCAAGACAAATAGCCATCTGATCAGCCCTTCTAACCATAAAGTAATTGAGATGCTACTTTGTTTCTTAAAATACCAGCAAGCCTCACAAATCTATTGTTCTAGAAGTCACCAATATTTTTTGTTTTGGTTTCCTAATAAAGTTTGGGATCTAAGAGCTGGCTGCTTACCAACGGGTTTTTGGTAAGCATAAAACCCACGTGTGCTTGACTTACCCTCCTAGTCACCAATTGCATTGAGTGGGAGCTCAGGGGAGAAATGGAACCTGGAAACTCACCAGGCACTCAGGGGCATTTGCTGGGTTCAGTCCATTCTGCTGGGACTGCAAATAAAAATAGAAGGGAAAAGACAGCCATTAAGATTTGGAGTCACGGTTGGTGACATCCATGATGCTGCAGCAACACGTTTTGGCCCCTTCCCATCTTATTTAAGCTCATTATACAACATGCTGTAAAGCAATGTTTATGGCTTTAGTGCCTAAATATTTACACTTTTTCGGAGCAAATGTTTTATTTATACAATGCGTTGTATGAATTATTTGATCATATTTTCCTGTTAGTTTCAGAAGCGCATAGCTCAGAGCCCAAATGCAGCCTCACTGTACTACGTGTGCAAGACCTGGTGCCTGGTTCTTTTCTCACTAACTCAGCCACAGGATTCATTTTATTTTCCCTTGTTCCATTTTTTCTCACTCTTATCTTGTCACTTAACTTATAGTAGTTATTGTTTTTTAAAAACACTTCAACTTGCCCTGACCGGTTTGGCTCAGTGGATAGAGCGTCGGCCTGCGGACTGAGGGGTCCCGGGTTTGATTCCGGTCAAGGGCATGTACCTTGGTTGTGAGCACATCCCCAGTCGGAGGTGTTCAGGAGGCAGCTGATCGATGTTTCTCTCTCATCGATGTTTCTAACTCTCTATCCCTCTCCCTTCCTCTCTGTAAAAAATCAATAAAATATATTAAAAAAAACACTTCAACTTATAGTTGGATAAAGATGGTTAGGACAGAAAAAAAAGAGAGGAAGAAAGGGAGGAGATAAAAAAATCAATAAAATATATTTTTTAAAAAAAACACTTATAGTTGGATAAAGATGGTTAGGACAGAAAAAAGAGAGGAAGAAAGGGAGGCGATTTATTCATAAGCTTGTAAGAGAGACTTTAAATAGTAAGAGTATATTTTGAATAATTAGTTACCCAAATTAGAAAGCAGTGTGTTGTGAGTTTATGGGGCATCAATCATGACAATAGAGACTATGTGGTCAATTTTCATGTGAATTTTAAATGAGGTTCAACTTTTGGGTAGAAAATATGTGTCCATTTGTCCATCAATGAAGGTGGAGGGAGGCCCTTTCAAGGAGCTTAAAATATGTTACATGAACCCAATGATTTCTATAGTGAGAAATACTATACATGTGTTATTTAACTTTCTAAAATTAGGTTTATCTAATTCCAGTGAGGGGTGCCTTCATACACTTCTGTATGTAATAATAATGCCATAAGAAGCACTGAAAGAACCCAATATACCTTTGGAATCACAAAAACCAAAACCCTACATCAAATATCTAGTGCAGTCCCGAGTACCTTGTAATCACCTACTTAATTAACATTAGTGATATAGTAAATTAACATTAACCTGAGTGCCCTCCCTCAGCTACTGTGTTTAAATAGACGTGTTTATAGAATTACATGTCAGAGATAAAGCCTCTCCGTGGTTGTGGATGATCTGGTTTTGTGTATAAAGAGCAGATGTCGTTTCTAAATATCAAGCTGCTCATCAGAATCTCCTCTTTTTTATTCTGGGCTCAATAATAGAAAGCTTTTCAGGAATGTATTCAAAATGTAATGCTGGGCCTCTGAAATTGATGCATACTTGTCACGTAAAGCAGACACGGAGAGGCTACTCATGGAGTACACTATTCTAGTTCAGTGACACCCGTCACTAGTGCTGGCATTTCTTCTACCTTTTTTCCAAAAGAAGGCAGTTCACACAAGTAAGAAATGCCATTGTCTTTTTAAAAGCCAATTCCAGTTACTGTGTTCATTTTATAAATTTCAATTATAAACATAGTTTTACGAGCTCCTAAGGACTGCAGCTCAGTGCAGTGTGCTTACTCGTTTCTCATACCTGACATGTCACCAGCAATTAAGGAAAAATCCAATCTGTCTGCCATTAGACATCACAGATCAACACACTTCAACATCCAGGGAAACAAGGAAGAGCACAAGGCATTAGGCTGGCAACAGATCTAGGTAAAATGTTACTCCGCTTTTTCCTTGATTTCTGCACCCCGTCTAATAATGCAGACGCCACAAAGGACAAGCTCCCTCCCAACTGGAGAGCAGGGTGTGCACTCTTTTGACATTGGGCTTGGTTATTTTCTATTGTTGTTATGTAGTGCATGTATTTATAGTGGAATGGCCATAACTTACATATATTTCTACGAGATTTTAATTCACTTCACGAAGTGAAGGTGAGATTGTCCCTACAGAAGTAAGAGGAAAAGGAAAGTGAGAAGGAAATGTAGCAAAAAGAGAACCAAAAGGACCAGGAGAAAAAGTAGTAATATCCACACAAGAATGTAAAGTCGTGCACTGCTTGGCTCAATGGGAAACAATGATTCCAGGTCAAAATAAATTAAATTTTTTCCAAGATTTCATTCAAAAAATAGTGATATAACTTTTTAGATAATAAGGTAGGTAATTGGAAAGAGATTATTTTCCCCTTTCTTGTAAAACAAGTCAATAGTCATGTCTAAAATAAATAGATTATAAAATAGAAACAATATTCAAAACATGCTTCTAGGGAATTGTATTTGAGATTGGGGAAGGTTGATGCAGAGCTTACTCAACATTTGTCAGGATTTGAGTAATATTTGTGTTCTTTCTGTTTCCTTTTTAAACTATGTGCTCTGATAGACACATACACAAACTTCCAGATGTGAGGGCAGTTTGGATGCTAAAAATGTTCTATTTTGGGAGACATTTATGTTCTTGTAGAGACTGTGAAACGAAATATTTGAAAAGAAAAGGTTTGGGAAGTATAGAAAATAGAGCTCCTGAAACCTGTGAACTGCACCTGGTACAATCAGAATCTTTGTGGTTCTTCTGTAACAACATCCTTCCTTCCTCTCACTTGCCAGCCAGGTGGTCATTCAGCTGCTTACATGGTGGAATGGAAGATGCTAAAATGTTTCATGGTCCACTGTCATGCTTACAAACTTACAACATTCCATAAAGATTCTACATGAAAGCCACGTGTTAAGGCAAATGGTCCTAGTGAGTCATCTGCAGGGGAGCAGTTTGCACTTGAGGTGAATCAACAGTCTTCTAAACATTGGCTCTGTGGACTCAAACATCAAATGTGACAGGCAGACCCTGGCTAGCTATAATACAAAAGGGTATGTGTTATTTGTTGTCATATTATTGTAACTGATAAATCTGTCTAATTAGCTGGAAGGAAATCAAAACTCTAAGATAATAAGGTAAAGGATTTCTAAACATTGATATGGGCAGAGATTCCAGCTAGTTCAGTAGGGACTGGACTACTCACAGAAAGAATGAAGGCATTTGGGCATCTGAAAGGAATGGAGTTACTAAAAAGCAAAGAAGAAAGGGACTCAAAACAGAAGTAGAAGCAGGTAGAACCCAAGACAATCTTCAACCAGTTTCTAGTTTCTACTAAGACTTGCTCTCAACAGGTGACTCAAAACACATTTTTCATGTCTAGATTTCCACACTAAATAGTAAGTCAAGTATACTATTCCAATCCCAGAAAGGTGTCCAGCCAACCCCATGTGTCAAATAACAGATACACACACCAGGAGGGGCAAGAGCTGCTCCAGGGTGGTCCTCCAAGCATTATTCATCACTGCGGTTTCCTGGACTTGCAGTGAATCGTGTCATTCCCAGTAGCAAACTGAACGTTTTCCTGGAGAAGGGGAGAAATTGACAACAAGAATGAGCTATAATTTCTCAATAAAAGGCATTTAACATTTTGTTGAGTAGACAATCTCTAGGTAAATAATAGAAACAATAAAAGGGACTTAAAGTGAAGCTAAAAGTTATAAATTATTAAGATCTATTATTGATTATCCAAGAAATAGCACAGAGAGAACAAATGTATAAGTTGCCTAAATAGTCCACATTTTTGCACGTGGACAAAACTGATATGCATTTCCATATCACAGATTGAAGTCAAAAGCAAAAGTACTGGGCTCAGCCTGGCTGGTGTGGCTCAGTGGTTGAGTGTCAACCTATGAACCGGAAGGTCATGGTTCGATTCCTGGTCAGAGCACATGCCAGGGTTGTGGGCTCGATCCCCAGTGTGGGGCATGCAGGAGGCAGCTGATCGATGATTCTCTCTCATCATTGATGTTTCTATCTCTCTCAACTTCTCCCTTCCTCTCTGAAATCAATAATAATAATTTAAAAAGTACTGGGCTCAGAGTCAGAAGTCCTACCATCATCATCACCCTCCTCTCCAGGATGTTGCCTCTGTGTGACTTTGGGCATCTCACTTCATCCATACACCTCTTTACCTCTAAAATGTACTTGCTTTTGAGGGTAGAGGAAGGAACTGGATTCTGTAGTTAATGAAGGATATATCTCAAATATAATTTTATTCCATGCCTTGTCCTTCAAATATATTAAAATCCCAAATTGATATTTTATTATAGTCAGCACAGCTTGGTAATTTTGAGCTTTTGGAACCTCATATTAGTGAACTATTTCCTACTGCTCCTAATTCTGGAATGACAGAGCCATAAGACTAAGCCTCAACACTCCTACCAGAAGTGACTGTTTTAGCTCCCAGAGAAAGCCATTACAGAACTCTGCTTCATTAAATGTACCCATTCAGCAGCCCAGAGGACTAATCTTTGACCCATTACTTCTTACTGTACTTTGTAAATGCTATACAATTTTGAATCTATATGGGTTTGTTTTTTGTCCCTATCTGACTTTAGCTTTGGGGAAACAGACAGTAAGAGATAATTATATATTCTAAGAATTTAAACCCTTGTTTATCGATAAGCTAAATTAAAGGTACATTGGTTAAAATCAGAGGCTATATCATCTATATCATGGTTGAGCATTATTGAACAGTATTGAGACTCAGCAAACCTGAATAATTTTGTTAACCAGTGTCACACCAGTAAATTAAAAAAAAATCATGTAACTTGTTCAACAGCAGCAACTGGGTGCTTTTTCAAGTGGTTGTCTCCACAACCCAGTGGAGTGTCATTTTAAAAAGTGAACATCAGTTCCATTTGCTACCACAGTTCATCATGTCATTGTGTTCCAAGGTTGTCTGGGGCCAGGGAGCTCTGTCAGCTAACAAAGCCAATAGAGGTTGAATGCCATGTATAACACGTGGACACCCAGTCTTGTTGGCAGTAAATTTTAACTTTAATGCTAACTAGTTTGCCCATGCTTTTCACCAGCAAGAGAGAAGAGATGGAAGAACCCATGTACATTGATTGTCATTACTACCATATTTCATCAAATCGAGGAAATGGTTGGAAATCAGAGATGTTAAAATGTGTTGGGGGGCGGGGAAGCCTGTGAAAGTGTTGAACTACAGGATGTGAGAAACAGTTCTGGCACATAGATCTCTACTCACCATGGGTCACCAGTGGTCTTCTTCAAAAATGAAAATAAAGACCAATACATGGCCATCTGAGTTGCAAGCTCCTTGGGATTAAGGACTCATGAATGACTTTTAGCAATGGCTCAGGCAGATACCATTTTAAGATTTCTCTACTGTGACAAATCTCATTTCAGCTTGAGAATGCCTGGTGATTACACAGTACTATTTGCAGGGTGACCCTTTTAGCTTTTAGGTCACTTATATTTTGTCAATCAGTCCAACAGTGTTATTTATTTATCTATCACTTAATAACCATGCAGCAGAGAATAATTTCTCTGGCCTCGCATGGTAATTTGTACTATAATTTCACCCCTGCTGCTGTTTACTTGAATTCAGCCACAGCTTTGATTGCTAAAATTAAGATTTCTAGGTCAGTTTTCAGCCTCTGGTTCCTGTCTTTCATCATTTCATCCCACGGCATCTTCTTCCGTTGAAGTTCATAAAGCAATGCAAAAATGTACCAGTTGTTTCTTTCAAAACGTGGTACTTGGCAGAGCAGATCACCTTTAAGTACTTGTGCAGACTTGAGTTTTATGGTGCAGTTCTGTGAACCCTGAAGTTAAATTCAGGGAAACGTCAAAGGGAGTGTTTTTAGAAACTTCCACATTAGGGGAAAAAAACAAATGGATAAAGAGAAAGGAATCAATAGTATGAATTGGAAAACTAAGTACATTCCAGAAACAAATGGGCATTGTTGCGGGATTTCTCAATATTATTTTAGTAAACTCCTATGAAAAGAAGTATTTTCCTGTTTTTCTTTTCCTTTTTTTATTTTTTGTACAGGAAATGGTCTTTGAATTTTGCCAATTAAGCAGAGTATGGATAATGGTTGAGCAAGTGGGTGGGGTCCTTTTGAAGCTCATTCTAATTAATATTTGAGGGTCTGTGAACTACAGTGTGAGTCTGTAAAAGAATTCACCACCAAGACAGGAACACAATCCTGAAGTATCAGAGCCTTGTCCTTGATTTTTCTGGGCTCATTTGTTTTTTAAAAAACTAACTCTGTGGATTCCCCTTCCCTCAAATTCTTCGATACGGTTGTGTATTTCTCCTTATTTTTGGTGTTTCTCTTTGAGGCCAAGTCTCTAATTGTTTCCACCATTGTCGGATTTTTAACTGGTTGGAATAACATTATTATGAGTCAGTGTCTTTATCCAAACACACAGGAACCTCATCTGTAAAATAATTGAAAACAATGGGCATTTCCTTCTTAAAAGTCACAACCATGGTTTTTATGAACTCCTTCGCTGTAGGCACATATAGAATCAGTGGATCAAGGTTCTTGAGTATGTTTGATGCTAAACACAAAGACTTGGACAACAAAACCCTGCAGTGTTGCCTTTTTATAAGTTGCAGATGTTGGGTATCTTAATAGCTACCTCATGACTTAGAGACAGCCCACGCAGAGCAGAGGCTACCAGCAGAATGAGCTCTGAATGATAAAGTCAGTCTCAGCACTTTCTGTATGTGACTTTAGGTAATCCCCTCACGTTTTCTAACATCTCTGTTTTCTCATCTGAAATATGGGAGAAATAATACCCATCTCTTAAATATATCATGAGAAGTAAAATTTTTATGTATACAATCTCCTTGCTCCTGAGCTGCACGTAGTCAGCATCCGATAAATGTTGGTTTCCTCCTCCCTAAGAAAGGAGGACTGCTTTAATGAATTATAAAAGCTTCGTGTGAATGCAAGACACTTTTATTAATATTGTGTTGCTTCGGGATTCAGGTTTTTACAAAAGAGTTTGATAAAGGGAAAAAGAAATTTAGTTATTGTCGTACAATTCCTGGCATGATATAAGTACACAATAAATGTCACTTTTCTCACCATTTTCCAAACTTTTGGGCACATTATTAGCACAGATATGGCATGTTGAACAAAAGAATTTTCTACATCAAAGCATTTTTTCTTTCTTTGTTTTGTCTTTCTTATGTAACATCAAAAATATCCTTTTGAAGGGTCATAAATATGGCAGAAAAGAAATACCGAATCTAAATCTTTTCTTTCTTAGACAAGAATCAAGATGCATGCATCTGAAATACAAACAAAAGAATTAAAAAAATTCTTTTTAATTCCAGTGGAATCCTTAGCCCGCAGTGTGCACTTCCAAAGTGGATATGCATCTCTGGGTTTGAAAATATTGGTCATGTTTTCATTTTCCATCCTTACAGGAATCAGACAGGGACAGGTGTACAGTGATCACCTTGTATATAATTATTGTATAAAATATATGTACTTTCTAAGCTATTTTCTTGGCTCTAGCATCACTGTTAAATCACAAATCTTGGTCAGGGCACATGCCCGGGTTGCGGGCTCGGTTAGGGGTGTTGCAGGCGGTAGCCAACCGATGAGTCTCTCTCATCATTGATGGTTCTATCTCTCCTGTGTCCTTCCTCTTTGTAATCAATAAAAATATACATTTAAAATGAAATGAGATTTAATAAGTGCTTTTATTATATCTGAAATATGTCAGAATTTTCATCTTATTCGTAAATATGTAAGGCAGGAAGTATGATATTAAAATATACACCCATGAACCTGCCCCCTGACTTAAGGAACACAACCTTAGGATTCTGGACTGTGTGTAGAGTGAAAGGGAGGGCTGAAGTTCACACGGAATACAGCCAGGTGGTCCCACCTAAGAAAACGTGCGCAGATGAGCACATAGCACTCACATGGCAGAAACCTGAGAGGGGTTCCAGACAGCAAGGCAACATGCAGTTGGGAAAGTGAGAGGAAGTAAGGAATGACTAGAGTGTGTGTAGCTGGGACCAAAACTGAATTCTATTCCCACCTGCCTGTCTCCTCACAAGGAAGTGAATACTGCCGGCCTTGCTAAGGCCTGAGAGGTGAGGGCCATGCAGATTAGAACCACTGTCTAAGGGCACCCAATGAGAGATCTTACTCGCTGCCAGGCCCTGTGCCAGCACTGGTTCTGCACCTCAGCTTGGATATTTCTAGGGAAAGGGAGTTTATGAACTTACTACGCAGCCATCTCCTACTGATGTCCACCTTTAATTATCTGAAAGTTATTTTTCACATGAGCTGAAACACTTCCCCTTTCCTTAGTTGAGCCACCCTGCAGCAACGCACAATAAACATCTTCCTGCTTCGGCGCCTGCCCGAGTGCGCGAGGCTCTGTCCCCAAGTGTCAGTGATCCTGGGAACCGGATTCCAATAAAAGGAAACCTTGAGGGATACTCTTATTACTGGCACTGTTTAAATTGACTCATAGGGGCATTCATTTAATGGGAGCAGGAATTCAAATTGCTCTCCACTCAATTCAGAGCAGGGAAGTTTTATTAAGCAGCCAGAAGGGGTGCGAGAGACTTTAAAGAATAAAGAAAAGATGTAAACCCTGCCCTTAAGGAGCTTAAAATCTGATTAATTTAGCCATGCTATTGAGCGTGTAAGAAAGTCTGGATGAGCAAAGAACACAGTTCAGACACACACACACACACACACACACACACACACACACACACACATCTTTCCCAAAAGTCTACATTTATGAAAGCTAAAAGGTAAATTTTTAAATTAATATGATATGTTATTTTATTATAAAACCAATTTATAGCCATAGTAAAAAATGTTGAAAAAATTAGGAAAAAGAAAACTACAAGTATGTATACCTACACTACCCAGATATAACTAAATTTAATTTTGTAGATTTAAGCCAAAGACACCTTTTCTATAGATGTACGTACATAGATTTTTTTTAAATATATTTTTTATTGATTTCAGGGAGGAAGGGAGGGGGAGAGAGAGATAGAAACATCAATGATGAGAGGGACTCATTGGTTGGCTGCCTCCTGCATGCCCCCTACTTGGAATCGAACCTGGGACCTCTTGGTCCATGGGACGACACTCAATCCACTGAACCACAATGGTCGAGTCATAGATTTTTATATGGAATTATGCTGTGCATGCTATCTCATAAATTGCCTTTCTCTAAATTTATTATCAGCATTTTTGCTAATAAATATTAATTTGCAATGTGTTCAATGGCTAATTACTATTTCATTAAAAGACTCTATCATCTCCCCTGGCCTCTGTGGCTCAGTTGGTTGAGTGTCATCCCATACACCGAGAGGTCACAGGTTCAATTCTAGGTCAGGGCACATGATTGGGTTCAGGCTCAATCCCCAGTACAGGGCATGCAGGAGGAGGCAGCCGATCTAAAACTCTCATTGATGTTTCTCTCTCTCCCTCTCACTTCCTCTCTCTTTTTAAAAAAACAAACAAATAAACAAGCAAACATATTTTTAAGATAAGACTGTACCATATTTTATTTAACAAATTTCCTATAGTTTGACATTTTGGTTGCTTCAAATTTTGATAATGTAAACAGCTTTTTTGTGGCTAAATCTTTGCGTACTTATTTCCTCTCCTTTCAGACACATTTCTGGGTGTAGAAGTGCTAGGTCAAAGCATATGCACATTTTTAAGCTACTGAATTCTAAAAATATAGTAGTCTAACAAGGTTATGCTGATCATTCCTCTGTCACTTACCAATGATGTATTATTATTTTTTTTAGCATCTGCCAGTTTCACAGTTGACAAATTATATGCATTGTTTTTAGCAGGATTTCTTTATTTACTAAACAGCAAAAAGTCTTTGAAAAATGACCATTAGTCACTTTCCTTCTTACTGAAATGTCTATTTTCATATAGGATATTAATATTTTTCATTCAGCAAATACTTTCTGAGCATCTCTTATATGCCACAAAGTATTCTAGGTGCCAGGATATGTTAGTGAACAAGTCAAGTCAGGATCCCTGCCCTCCCGGAGTGTACATTCTAGCGTGAGTCTACGTTCTAAGAGGCTTAACATGGAAAGAATATTGACAATTTTATCATATTGTGCAACTTTTTTTCAGCCCCAGTTCATCACCTGGCAGCTAATGTTTGTATTTAGAAGAGAGACATAATTGGGGCCAGAATGGGTATAATATTAGAGGTGGGTTACACCTCTATAGTAAATTCCTCCATTTTATACATTAGGAACCAGAGTAGGACCACAGAGAGAAAAAGACTCATCCAGGCTCACAATCGACTAGTAACCTAAATAAATACCTGATACCAGGGCTGTATCTAGTCCAAATAACTGAAAATAAAATCCTTGTTAGTTTACTATCTTTGTCTCTACAATTAACAACTAACAACTATTGGGGCCTTTCTATGTGGCAAGCATTGTGCTAAGCACTTTATATGCATAAATTATTTAATACATCCTGTGAGACAGGTCCCAAGAATCATCTATTAAACAGGTGGGCAAACTGAGGCTTGGAATACTTAAGTAAACCAAGGTATCTCTCTCTCCCTTTCTCTCTCTAAAATCAATTTAAAAAACAACAACAGTTTCAAAGATAGTTATTAACCCAATTTAGTAGTTGAAGCTCATTAATAAGTTATGTAAGTTATGTTGCTCATTATGGAATCATTACCATAAATCGGAAGATGGCCATTTGGATATAGCGGCCAAGGAGAGGATGAAGAAGACTTGGACCAGAACTGAGCACTGACCTCTGGACATTGTGATTGTGTGCATTTGCCAGTCCTCCGGTGGAGTGTTGCCAGTGACGAAACTGATCCCACCTAAGCAGACATAATGTAGTGACAGACATGAAGGCATTTCCTGCGTGGGACACTCCAAAATATTCGTATCTTAGTTCTCAATCTCTCGTTTACGGGGCCCCACGTGAAAGAACTCCATTCATTCAGGGTTAAGCTAGAGACACTGAAACACAAGAGCAAAAGACCATCTGATCACAACTATGGAACCAAGGCCGGGGACCCTTGCTGAGTCTGTCAGTCCTGGAGTTTCACAGCCAGTGTCCAAATGGGGAGTATTTATGATTTAAGTGCTGTCAGGTAATTCATAATTACACAAGCCAACAAGAAATTCAATATAAGATGATTTGCATTGATTTGTTGGCTATGCTCTAAGAGCTTGGTGTTAATTTACAGGATAGACATTCTTAATATTACCCAAACATTTTTTGTTCTAATAAATGGTTCTTAATATTTTGAAATCACCTGATTGTTCCCACAGGTCTTAGATTGTCTGAAACCCATTTTTATTAGGAATCATGAGTCAGGCTCCTGGTAGACAGTTTTGTGAGCATAACGACCTCTCTATAAATATTACCGGCTGAGTCAAAACTAAGTGGAAAAATGAATAGACTTGTGGTTTTCTCCATAGAGACTTTAGAAACCCCCAGGTTTTATTTTAGTCTAATTGTAGATTTGGACTTTTTCTAGGTCATCATCACAGCCTGGCCCTTACACAAATCTAATGGAACCATGTTTCACAGGCTGCGGAAACAGACAGGCCATTTAAAATGCCACGGGGTTAACAAGGATGAATCCATATGTCTTTGCAGGCCAGCGGGTATTTCCTACCCAGCGAGGGCTGGAAGCAAGGAGGCATCACAGACATAATAAAAGTCTGATGCAGAGAGGTTTGGAACACCAGCTAGTCTCATGTAAATGTATCAATAGCAAGTCTCAGGTAGAGAAACAAAAAGGAGCAGAAACAGTAATCACCTTGCACTGAGCAGAGGAAACAGTTGCTGAGATTATTCTGAGGGTAAAGCAGGCCTGGGGCCCTACAAAGCTGGTCTTCTACCTTCCAACATGGCCGACTAATGATGAAAAGCAGGTGTTTGGGTCCAGACGGTGAAACTCAGCTCTCTTGGGACACAAGGCCTAAAGGCAGCAGGAGAACATTGGTTAGGAATTGTGGGTTTGGCCAGGGTGTGAATTTTAATTCTATCAAATTGGCTTTGAGGAACTTTTTTTCTTTGTGGTTCAGTCTCCACATCTGTAAGTATCTCACAGGGTTACCAGTGTAGAAGATCATGTGTCTACCACAATGAGGTAAAACTTCACACCTGTTAGGATGTCTATCATCAAAAAGACAAGATTGCTAGTGAGGATGTGGAGAAAAGAGAACCCTCACGCACTGTTTGTGGGAATGTAACTGGTGCAGCCACTATGGGAAATAGTACGGAGGTTCCTCAAGAAATTAAAAGTAAATCTAGCAATCCGCCTCTGGTTATATATCCAAAGAAAATGAAATAATTATCTCAACATGATATCTGTACTCCCATGTTAATAGCTGCATTATTCGCATTATTCACAATACCAAGGTATGAAACAACCTAAGTTTCTGTTGATGGATGAATGGGTAAAAAAGATGTGCTATATGTCAGTGGACTATTACTCAGCCTTTAAAAAGAAGGAAATCCTGTCATTTGTGATAACATGGTTGAACCTGGAGAGCATTATGCTAAGTGAAATAAGCCAGACACAGAAAGACAATACTATATAGTATCACTTAGAAGTAGAATTTTTATTTGAGGTGATAAACATGTTACTTAACTCAATGGGGGAATTCATCACATTGATAAGAAGACTCAGGTAGAAGTAACTGACATTTTTTAGACAGATTGTGTAATTGTTTTGAGACCTTGCTTCTCACAGAATTAATATCTATTTAGTTAGTCTTTACTAATTTTCTTATTATCAGTTTCTTATTCCCCCTTTAGCAAGTTTGGCTACATTTTACTTTCCTTCTTAACATAATTGAAATCACATAGAAATCATTTGTGACGGTCACACAGATTCTACAGTTGTCATCAATATCTTATCAGTTTCTGACGAAACACATATTTGGGAGTAGCCTCTCCCCGGTACCCACTTTCCTCACAGGCCCCTTTGGAAATGAGTCAACATACTGCTGTTTCAGACTATCATTTATCCAGTACCTGCCTCACAGACACAAACCTAAAGGTCAGTTTCTGATATTACCCATAGTAGATAGCAATGACTATAATTTTTTATTCAAACAATTAGCGCTGCTATCCTTCAGGCAGAATAACTTCCTTTTGAATAAGTGAGCAAACAAAGCTGTCAAGAATGCTAAAATATATATTGGCAAAACTCTGTAGAAGAAAAAACACTACAGAAGAACTCTGTGGTCTCGACGGAGGTAAAGAGAGCAGAGCTACCTACTTCTAACCAAATCCTCCGAATCATCTCTCGTTTTCCATAATTCATAGACTTGCTCTTCAGCATCAGATTTGTGGCTGTGCACAAGGTCAGGCTAGAAGCGTACAGAATGTGTAAGTCTGAGGGCGGAAACTCTTTTCCCCCATTACTTATTTATCAAACAGGTGGATAGCAGATAGAAAGCTTGGGTATTGTCTTGCCTTTCTTCCTCTCGTGCAAAAAACCATCCCTGTGTCCTACCTTGTTAACATTTTCTGTTTATTCCATTTCCCTGCAATTTCTTATCATAGTTGCCAGTTAATCACAAATATATGGAAAGAGTTTTTTTTTAATCTCCCAGTCTTCATTGCTCTGTGACATCTATTCGAAAGTTGCACCCCTGCTAAAGAGTATCCAATTATACTCACTGCAGGGAAAACCAAGCTATCAGCAGTTGACTTTGCTTTTGTCTAAGGTATCAAAAGTGAAAGCAAATTAGGTATCTAAAAATAAAAATTAAAATTAAGACTAATAAAAAGGAGCTTTGACTTTTCTCATCACAGACTCATTTATACTTAATGACACAGACCGACTGAATAGGTAATTGTTCTAATCTCTCTGGAAATGGATTTTAAAAATATGGCTGATCCATGCCTCCTTTCAGGACAGGCAAATGGGCATCAAGATAATAGAGAAAGGAGAGCCTGTTTACGCAGTTACATCCTAATTAATGTGTAGCATTGGTTTGCACAGGGGTTAGAGAGAGATATGCGGACCAGTGTTACTTAGACGGATCAGCATATAAATTCAGTGCTGCATTATTTGCTCACAGAGCTCTATCTGCCAGATCAAGCATGTGAGATATCAGGAAAAGAACACCAACATCTTCTTTCCAAAAAACAGCCAGTGTTGCTTTAATCAGAAAAAGACAATTTTAGTAATATAATTTATAGAACCCCTCTCTCTCTTTGGATATACATGTTTCCTCTGTGTTTACAGACACTCCTCCAAGTTTCTGACATACAATTGGCTAATACTTCCTATCAGATGAATACTTCTGACTTTTACCCTCCTCTCACCATACCTTTCCCTTTCTTACTCTCACACTTGCCCCGCTCAGAGCTACTACCAGCTAGACAGGACTTAGTTCTGAAGGGATTATAGCGCCACCTAAAGGCTGGTACAGGAAACGATTTTATCCATTGTCTTCCTACCACCTGCCTCTTTCCTCCTCCAAGGGTTCTTTGCACATATTTTAGCATCTTTTCTAAGCCCTTTTTTTTTTTAAAAAACTCATAGTTGTTGTCCTTCCCACCCCCAGCTCAGAACCAGGGGGAAATTTTAGCAATCACAAGAAATAAAACAATTTGTTCTTGGAGCATTTCTTTTCCTTGAAGATGCTCTAAGCTATTTAAATTAGTCATTTTTTGTAATAATAATAATAACACTTTACACATATTAAGTAGTAGCTCTTTTTACACTTTATATATATTAATTTACTCATTTAAATGGAAGTAATTAAATGAGCAACTCATATAATTCATGTACTCCTCTCCCCAAATTTTACATATGGGTTAATAGTCTATTTGAATTTATGACAAACTTTTGATAGAAACCAAGGACAAGTGAGATAATTTACAATGCAAAACTAATTTGTAACATGATATACACACATACACACAGAAATATCTACTGTGGTGACATAATTTGAAAGACAACTGTCTTCTGTCTTATTAATAAACAGGTTAATAGATCCCTTCATTGAGTGAGTCAGCTCGGCTAGTTTGGCCTTTTTTATTCCTCAACTCCAGCCTCACAGCTTCCAAATCTCTGTTGACAAGTATCTGTAGATGAATCACAAGTGCAGCAGGAGCCGACCCCTAGTTGATAATATTGATCACATATTTATGTGTTTACTGACCGTTTGTGTATCTTCCTCCTTGAAGTGCCTGTTTAAATCTTTTGCCCATTTTCATGACCTTCTTGTCTTTTTCATATTGAGTTATTAATGTTTTCAAAATATTTTCTGTATCCTTTTAAAAATACATGCTTTGCAAATTTAGTCACAGACCAATACGTTTTCCTTAACAGTGTCTTGTGACAAGCAAAGTTTTCCGTTGTAGAGAACTCTAAGTTATCATCTTGTGTGTCGCGTTTTCTGCTCTCTCTATGAATTTATTGCCTACCTCCAGCTTGCAAACAAACCCCAGTGAACGAAGATCAATGGATCTGAAACCTGGTGCATCAGTGTGGGTCTAGTGAAAAGGCAGATATATCGTTCTATTTTCCTGGCAGCTTTATCCTGTTGAGATTTGGTTTGGGCTTTGCTATGTTGAATCTCGGGCTATTACAGCCCTACTCATAAGGGACCATCTTTTTATTGAGACTTGTCTCCACTCTGGCTTCTTGGAAGCTTATATCTCTCAGCTCTGTTCAAATGTCTATCGTTTATTCCCCTTCATAGTTTCCAAATAGCTTTTTTTTTTACTAGATCTCATTCCACACATGCTCAGCTCAGCATTTGGCTAAAGATTCAAGGGACCCCATGAGGTTCCTTCTCCATACAGTTTCCTTCTTTCTGGGAACCTGCCCCTGGAGAGCTGCCTCACCTGCCTCAGGACCAGTCTTGTTTCCTCCACCCAGAGCGACCGTTGCTCTCTGTTTGGGGTTCAAGTCACAGGGCTGGGTTTCCCAAGGCCTCCTGGGAAGAAAGCTGCATTAGTGCTGGGCTCACCTATGTGTTTCCATTCCCTCAAGGATCATATCCCTGATTTCCCGGAAAACGATTATTCAATCTTTGTTGTTCCATTTTATAGATTTTTAATGGTAAGTTCTACGATCATTTTCCTAATATAGCTTGAGGTTATTTTTTTTAAATGAGTTGGTGTGTGTGTGCTTTAGATTTGATATAGTCAGATGACATTTTCGTTTTATAAAATCCAGAAAAACGAACAGAAAGCATAGAAAAGAAAATCACTGGTAATTCCAACATTCAGAAATAACTATATAAAATCCAGAAAAACGAACAGAAAGCATAGAAAAAAAAATCACTGGTAATTCCAACGTTCAGAAATAACTACTATAACCCTTTTATATTTCTGTCTTTTTAATATATGTATGCATGTATATGTATGCGCACACCTATAAGTATATATCCATAAAATTGGAATCATATAGTACCTATTGTTTTATGACCTTTTTTCCACTCCAACTTTATTGTGAAGACTTTTTCATGTCATAAAATAATTTTCCACTATCAATAACCAGCGTAATTTTAGACTACTAAACCCTTCCTGACATGCAAATGCCACCAATAGGATCATCAATGGTTGAATAGTCAATAAAACTCTGAGCTTGTCCTTCAAAATTTAAAAGACATAATTTCAAGTAGGTGAATGTATAGTTTACATACACCTGTTTGCTTTTTTCTTTTCATCTGATCTAGTGTCTCCTATAAGCTGTGTTCTAATTGCATTTGGAAAATTAAGCTAAAACCATTGCAGTTGGGTCGTTTCTGCTGGCAGGTTGGTAAAGCTGCAGAGGTTTATGGGACACAGCTCACCACATCACACAGCTTGGTTTGGGTTCATTGCCTAAGTTCCCGGGGTCTCTTTCAAAATCATAAAAACCTGCAATAGAATTGAAGCTTTCAAGGGAGGAAGCTGTCCTCAGTTCAGAAGCAATAAAAGGTCAGTCTGTTCCATTGCT